CTCCACAATCCCTGCTTTCTACAATCCATTCAAACTGAATCAATTTCTATTTCCTATGCCAAAACTACATTTTGCAGCTTCTGTATCTTTCCCTAATTTATTACCAATTTCAAGATTGACTTCTACTTTTCCTTTAAGGTCCATCTCAAATGCCCCCTCTTCATGAAGACTTCTGTAATCCCCAACCCTCTTCCAATAGGTAATAATGTCTCTCCTTTTGGTTTTCATGTAGGATTTTGTTTTGCAATGCTCTATTGAACTTATATTTATTATTGTATTTTGATTATAAGCTTCTTAAGAGCAAGGACTGTCTTTTGCTTCTCTTTGTATCCACAGCACCTTAGCATAGTGCCTGGCACATAGTAGATGCTTCATAAATGCATTGATTGGTTGACTGATTATATAATATTATATATATTTAGTTATACATCTTTGTAATCCCAGTATACCATAAACCACATGAGGATATGAGCCCTCCTCTCCTCCCAATGCCTAGTGGGATGTTCTATACACAGTAGGTATTTAATAAGTGTTTACTGAATTGCATTTTTTATTGAATTTGAGTTAACCTCTGCTCTTGGAACACTTGTGTTTTCATATAATCATAAATCAATGGCTTAAATAAAATCCAGGCATAAATAAAACAATTGCACTGTCAAAAAGAAATTATTTTACCTGAGGCAAATGTAGAACATAGAACATAGTCTTTATCATTGAACAAACATCAATAATCCAAGGTAAAATTCAGTTTCACCCTGATCACAATGCAACAAACCACCATTATCTTCCAGCCTCTCTTTAGACAGTGAAGCCTTATCCTTTACATCCAGCACCCAGCACAGTGCCTGGCACATAACAGATGCTTGCTGATTAATTGACTGAATAATTGTAACTGAAAATGGTGGAAAGTAAATACCAGTTATGGGCAAAATCAGCTGCAACTTCAGCCTCAGAAAACAAGCCAGCATTCTTTCTTCTAGGCCCAATGATAATAGATATTAATTGTGAGAACTATTCATCTGAAAGCAATTACACTCATCTCTAAGGATACAGAGCATAATTACCCATTTCTGCATCGCCACCGTTATAGTACAGCCCATGTGCATGTATACTCAGGCATCATTGTATCTGTTTAATAACTGAACAAAACATTGTGTATGAAGTATAATACATTTCTTTAGATATTTTGAAGCTTGAAAATGCCCTTTGAAAATCAGTAATTTATTTGGTAATTCATGACATACTTATACATTTTCAAAATTATTGGATTTCAAAATATGTGTTTTGCCTGAGATTAGAACAATTGTTCCAGCAGTACTTAGCATGCTGCAGAGCTTTAAATGCAAGGAGACACTAAGGCTCTCCGTGGATAGCAACCATGGTTTTCTTTCTTCTGTCCCAGACAAAAATAACTTGTAAATGCACATATATTCTCTCTTAGGAAAAGTTGTAAAATTTTACCGCTACTCCACCATTAAACCAATTGAGCTGTTTAATGTTTCTCAAATCTGGACCATCCCCAGTGTTGCATTTCAGAAGGCCACAAGGTGTGATGGAAAGAGCTCTTGATGAGGAACTCAAAGCCTTGAGTTCTTGTTCTGACACTAACAAGATATAATATGTTGCTGGTTATTATTGAGTTGATTCAGTCTGTCCAACTCTTTGTGACCCCATGGACTATACTGTCCATGGGGTTTTCTTGGCAAAAATACTGGAGTGGTTTGCCATTTTCTTCTCCATTGGATTAAGGCCAACAAACATTATAATTTTCCCAGGGTCACACAGCTAGTTTCTGAGGTCGAATTTGAACCCAGGTCATTCCAGTGCTCTACCCACTGAGCACCTCACTGCCTCCTATAATATGTAGGACAAGTTGCTTAAATTCTCTGGACTCAGATTCTTCAGCTGTTCCACAAAAAAAAGTGATCAAAATGCTTTCTCTAAGGTCCATTTCAATTCTACTATCTTGTGGTGAACACAATTCTTTTTAGGGTAGCATTCTGCAGTGCTGAATATTTTTTCTACCAAACAAGTATAGGACTTTATAGCCCTAAACCAATTCTAGATTTCAATCCAGTCAAAAAGCAAAGTATAGCAGCCAATTTACTGTAGGTTATTTTTAATAAAGTCCTCAGCTACAGCTTTTATATCTTTTAATACAACCGAGTTATTTTTGCATTGATGGAATGAAGCCAAGAGGCACTGAAGAATACATATTCAATTTTGTTTCCTGCTATGAAAGCTAGAGTACATAAAACCTTATGAACAGAGGAAAAGATAGAAATTTGCTTATGTTGAAAATCCCCCACTGTAAATGAGGTAACCATTTGATTAGATTCAAAGGACCAAATTTGGTCAGCCTAACAACATGAACTTTATTCAGATATAATTATAAGTTTCATATTAGAAAATTAAACTAAATGTGAAAGTGGCTGCCCAATTGAGGTGGCCTGCTGCAATGGAAAGAATGATAGGGGTGGAATGAGAGACATGGGTTCCCAACTTGGTTCTGCCTACTTTCTACTTGCATGACATTGGGCATGGGACACCGTTCTATGACTCAATTTCCTTATCTATAAAATAAGGGTGTTGGGCTATCATGACTTCCAAAATCCCTTCTATCTCTAAATATATGTTCCTATGGCCATAAGTATCTTTAAAATAAAAAAGGGTTGGTATTTTTGTACCCCCCCAAAAAAACACGTAAAATTACAGAGATTCAGTGGCACTATATCAAAACTTGTGAGTTCAGGGAAATAGAATCATCTTTCCAATTATTCTAAACTATCACCTAGCCTATATCTTGAAATATGGAAAACTCAGTTTTGTTCTGCACTCTGCCTTCAATGTCAAAGACAAACAAGTAGATGGCAGAGATTTATTAGATACTCACATACAACATCCAGTTTACATTGCTGATCTAAACTTTTGCTAGTGACAGCACTGTCAGGCTGTAAAATTGTAAGGGATATACATAATGATGACCATGGGGCAGTGCAACATCTTGAAATGCCTTCTAAATAATAAAAGATAGATTAAACTCTGTTCTCTATTATCATTTCACTATTAAATTTCCCAGTTGGGGTCAGTGCTGGGTAATGTTGCCATGCTACTAACCTCATGAACAACCTTCAGGAAGGCAGAATATAAAGAGACTCTTTCTGCCCTGAGCGTGGTGGGGAGGGGAATGATGGAATCTATTAATAAAGAGTAGTGTCCCCACCATCCCTCTGATCATCCTCTCACAACACTTGCATTTTTATTCTTTCAAAACTGACAAACCAGGTATTATAAATATAGTGACTATCAATTAAGTTCAATATTCAAATAGCCATAATCTCTAATAATAAAACCACTAAATGATAGCAATTACTATTTCTAAATTTTTTTTAAAAAACTGATTTTCTTCCTGAGTAATGGGATATAGTGAAGTAACGAAAATTAGAAAAAATAAATCTTTGGTTTGAAAGCCACTTCTTAAGGTCATCTAATCCATCCTTTTATTTCTAAAGAGTATTGAACTCAGAGCAACCAAGAAAAGCTACTTTTATGCATTATTTTCCACAATTTCTAGGGAGAGATATTTTCCCACTCACCCTACCTAGTAAGATATTCTAGTATGAGGAAGCACTTAAGATTGGGAATTTTTGCCTTAATTGTGACCTAAATCTCTATGAAAACATTTCCTTTCCTCTTTCACTGATTCCTACAGTGAATAAAAAGAATAACTTTACCATCCTGAACTAGTTCCAGATTAGTGTCAATAATGAATCTTCCTTGAAGTGGTGCATTATTAGAATTTGCACTGGGTATTTCCATTATGCTAGAATAAATTCTCATATTTTATATAATTGTAATTTCAAAAAGCATGAATTCAAATACATACAAACCTTTCACTGGGTTCACGACTCACAGTAATTTGGATCAAGTTGGAGTCAATCCAGGTGTAGAACACTGTCAGTGTTAAATTTACAATGCTAAATAGACCATTATCTCCCAAACTTTATAACATAGCTAAGGATTAGTATTTCATTTATGAAATTTGAATGTTTGCACTTATTTTCTGCTTTTGAATGAAATTTTCAAAGATTTATATGTCAACATGCTAACAGTATTAGCAATGCCATGTTATTTCCAATATTTATACCTCATTCCTAAAGGGCAGAGTAGAGATAATGATATACTCCACATATTTTAATTTTTAAAATTGATAAGTTTCATTGCCAATTTCTATAATTCTATTTTGTTTTTTTTCCTGAAACCACAGAATTTTTAAAAATATAACCAAAGGATCAAAGATTTAGGGTTTAAGGGGATTTTAGAAAGTCATTGAGTCCAACTTCCTTCTTTTACAGATGAGGAAACTGAGGGCCCAAAGAGATGAAGTCAGCTTCACCTCTGAAGCTTCCATTACATCTGGATGACAGAGCTGGACAGAATCTCATAGACCACGTTGTTCTTTGAAACATTTACTAACCGAAAGACCATTGTATTAATTAACAAAAAAAGTAAGCAATATTAAATCAGTAGAAAGTGAAGTTAGTAGTCTCAAGCAAATTCCTACCCACAACCTCTGCAGGCATTATTAGTATTCTCAAGGTAAGCAAAGAAAAGGAATATAGATCAAAAAGGCTATAAGTTTTAAGGTAAATTGGCATAATGTGTGCTATGTAAAAAAGGCATTAATTATTGCTATTCATGGGCTCTTAACCAGGGCAAAGGATCTTTCTGATTGGAGGCATTAAACATTCCTTCATTTGAGAAGAGGGAAAATTAAGTATTAAACAGGATTTCTTTAACTGACTGTTGAATATAATGATCAAGTTGCAAAGTCACCTCTAAAAGAAAAACTAACTTAGAAAGTACTAAGACAGTTTGTCAAACGGAGACAAATTATTTTCTTCTTCAGATGCCTGCCTTGTTTTCATGGAATCACAGCATAGCCGAAAAGGCAATTTTTCATTTTGTGCTGTCTCAAATTGAACAAGTAAAATTGTTACCTTCATGCTGTAGATTCTGTGATGGAGTCAAAGTGTCAACTGCCTCTTGAATCTGTTTGGCATTGTTTTTTAAAATAGCGAGAAAGTTTTTGAAAGCTGCGTCTGATGGTTCAGATGTAAGATTTATATATGACGAAAGAATATCTGCAAGAGGAAAAAAATACATATACTTACAAAGACACATACACATGCATCTATATGTAAACACATATTTGTGTGTATATGTGCGTGTGTGTTTATACGGGGCAGCTAGGTGGTAAAGTGGATAGTCAGGAAGACCCAACTTCAAATCCAGCCTCAGATACTAGCTGTGTGACCCTGGTCAAGTCATAAATTAGTGGTCCAGATGTTAAAAAAAAAAAGATAGATAGGCAGACACATACGCCATGGACTTACCAGTTACCTATTTGCTCAGATAGTATTAACCATCCAAAAACTGAAGTTAATAAGAATGACAGAAGATGAAAGAGCCAGGGAAGGTAGGCAAGAAAATTACTACATAGTAGCAGTTGTATTTTAGCTACAGCAACAAAACTGTTGTAGGGAAAGAAGGAGTGTTGGAAAAAGCCATATTTCCTATTTCTGAAAGCCAGATATACTAAAAAAAAAAAAGGTTCAGTTCAATTCAACAATAACAAAAAGAATACAGCTGGCAATCTTCAACATTGACTTGAACCCTAAGGGTGAAAGTTCTAGCATATCCACTTTGGAGTGTTTTCAAAGCTAAAATGATAATTCCACCATTCATTTAAATAATACTTTATAGTTTACAAAGCACTTTCTCACAACCTCTATTCTGTTATGATACTAGCATTTCCATGGTTTAACATTTTCAGTACTTTCCAAACAGCATGTGCAGCTGGAAATTACCTTAAGACTTGGACACTGACTGAATTGTTACTTACTTACCTCTTAGTGGGGAACATAGAACACCATCAACATTTGCCAGAAAAGAGTGGTAGTCTTGCTTTATACCCTCAAAAACAGCTTTGGTGTATTTAATTTGGAGGTTGTAGATACTTCTATGGAAATTAACTTCTGCTTGTTGGTCATTTATCTGAAATCCAAAATGCATAAAACATAAATATAGTTACTTATGCCAAGTAAAATTAACTAAGATGAACCAGAAATATAGCCTACTTCCAGGTAATGGCAGGTAATGGGTAAAAGACTTAAGATTTTAATTTATTAAATAGATTCCTGTTGGTCTAATTGGAGCACCAACACAGTAGCAGAATTATCTCTATACAACTAAAATAGCATTGAGGCATACATGTCTAGTTATTTTGGCCAACTTTATACAGTCAATGTAAAATATCACATGACAAATGTAATTAGATGTGCCTCAATTAGCAATTAGTATAGTTTGAAAAACCAAAGTGATAAAAAGAAGAGTTTGTCTAATGGTATTCTTATCACCAAAACAAAATGGCAGCCAACTGGAGGCACATGTCATAGAGGCAACTAGGAGATGAAGTCACTGCTGTCCAGAAGCCAGATCAGAAATAGCCTTCTAAGCATGTCTAGTGTTCCCTGAAATCACGAAAACGTTTTGAATTCAAGTATTTGATTTCTACTTTGCATTCAGTAAAAGGTAGAGTCCAATAGAGTAGTTTTCAAAGATAAAATATGATATACAGAAATGGAAGCAGTAAGAAATATTTCAAAACAAATTACTTTCTTCGGTCTTTGATAATCAGAGTCATTGAACTATAAAGAAATTACATGATATCCATATAATCACAATAATCTTTTATATTTCACAGGCCTTTAAATACTTGGAAGATCACACATTTGTGAAAATGAAGACCTGTCTTTCTCAAAAGATCCAGGATATTTCAGCACTATGGTGGTCTTGGCTACTAAGTTACTTACTTTTATTAGTAAAATATACTTTTCTAATAACATAGATTTGGCAATATTGTGAGGTCTATGGGTTTTCTGTGAATTCAAAAATAAACTTATTGAGAAATGAGGTTGCTCAGATAAATAAAACATTTGGCATAATAAATAAATATATTTGAAATAATTATAAATGAAAAAGAAAATAAATAAATAAAAAGAAAATGGTGGATAGAAGAATTTGCCTTTGGTACATTAGGCATTAGTAAGTTACTAAAGGTTCCTTAAAACAAAGAATAAGGTATTGGGAAAAATGACAATGATTCCTCTAAAAACTGTACAAGATGGATGAGAGTAGAGTGAAGCTAAAGAGAGATTAGCTAGAAGCATGTTTCACTACAGTCAAGATATGACACAATGAAAATTTAGACTAAGTTGTTCTTTAAATATAATAGAGGGGTTAGACCTGAGAAATACTTCAAAAAAACTTAGCAGAACTTGGTGATGAACATAAGAAAATGACAAATCTTTATCCCTTAAAAGACAAGAGGGGCCTGATTACTAAACATTTCTCATCATGTTTAAAACCTGCCTTTTTATAGCAATCAATTCAAGTCAACATTTCTTAAATGCCTACTATGTGTTAAAAATACTTGCCTTTGTATAGGAGAGGATTTACTTCTATATGACTGCACTATGAACCAAAACTTAATGGGAGTAACTACATTAATATATTCTCTTATATCAGAGAAAAGGGAAATTGGGAGTTGAATTTTTGCAGTTTTTCTTCTTGTTTTCTCTAATTGCCCTGACAATCAATCATTCTTAATCTCATATTCTCTCTCTGTCTCTCTCTGTCTCTGTCTCTCTGTATCTCTCTGTGTCTCTGTCTGTCTGTCTCTCTCTGTCTCTCTCTCTCTGCTTCCTTGCACTTATATTTCTCTTTTTCACTCTTTCACTCTTTTTCCCTCCTCTTTCTCCCTCCCTTCATGTCCTGAATCAAGTTTTAGACTATGGTTTGAAAAAAAAACAGTTTACAGAATATGTTATTTTCCTTTAAGAAAAACATTCATTTCTTAAAAGAAAAGAAACATTCTCATATCTAATGAGAAGCAAATTACATTATCATTACATGGTTTTACTGTGGAGTAATCCTATAAGGCTAGCTGGAATAAAGTGTTTTGGTATTTAAAAAAATAATAACGTGGATACCATATAGAAGATAAATTGCTGGTTTAAGGGAACAGTCTTTGACCAAATGTCAAGTACAAAGGATGACTTATTTTATTTCAATCATAAAATGCTGTCAGGACAAAAGATTAGACAGACTTTGGGGAAGGAAAACATGAGTTGTAGATATCACAAAAAATGTAAAAGGTACTTATTTTCAGAATCCTTATGCTGACCTATATGGAAGGACAAAGGGGAGAAAGTGTATCTTCTATGTATAGTAGCAATGCCCACAGGTTTAGCTCTATATGTCAACTCAAAAGTTAGGATATTCAGTTCAATTCAATAATACTTATTAAGCAATCAATCAATTAAAAAGCATTTACTAAACCATTTGTGTGTGCTGCCACCCTGCTGAGCACTAGGATTCCAAAGAAAATCAAAAACATGGTCGTTGCGCTCAAGAGCTCACATTCTAATAAGGGAGATAACATGCAAACAGCTGTACATATAAGACATATTTATGTACGTACAAATACACAAATACATACTCAAATAGTTGTACATACAAGACAATGTAAATGTAATGTAAAAGCACTAGAAGTTGATGGAGGTGAAGAGAGGAAGAGGCCAAGAAAGGCTTCTTGCAGAAAATTAGATGTGATATGAGTCTTGAAAGCAGCATGGGAGGCCTGGAGGTAGAGGTGACGAGGGGGAGCATTCCAAGCAAAGGACAGTCAGTGAAAATAGAGTTGGGAAATGGAGTGTCATGTTTAAGGAATGGAAAGAAGGCACTGTCACTGGATCTTAGAACACAAAGAGAGGAATAAAATGTAAGAAGAATGGAAAGGTATGAAGGGGGCAGGCTGTGCAGGGTTTTAAAAGCCAAAAAAATATGAGGAATTTATATTTGATTCTGGAGGCAACAGGGGGCTCCTGGAGTTTATTAAGCTGGGTGGTGACATGGTCATCCCTGTACTTTAGGAAGAACATTTTGGCAGCTGAGTGGAGGAGAGTTTTGGAGTAGAAGGAGATTTGAAGCAGGAAGACTAACCAGAAGACTATTTCAATCATCCAAGAGTAAGTACTGAAATGCCTACTATGTGGCAATCGTTGTGCTGAACACTAAGGACACACACACACCCCAAAAACAAAAAAAATAAATAAATAAACAAACAAACAAATAAATAAATAAAAGACAGGCCCTGACTTCAAGGAACTTATAATCTAATGAGGAGACAATATGCAAACCAATATATACAAAATACGCTATCTATAGGATAAATAGGAAATAACAGAGGAAGGCACTAGAAGTAAGAGGGGTTGGGGAAAAAAAAACCACAGGATTTTAGTTGGGACTTAAAGAAAGACAGGGAGTTCAGCTGGTAGAACAGAGAAGAGAAAGCCTTCCAAGCACTAACAGTAGCCAAGGAAAATGTCCAAAGTTGAGAGATGGAGTGTCCTGTTACTGGAACAGCCTGGAGGCCAGGGACACTGAACCAAATTACTTGGCAGGGAGTAAGTAGGCATAAGAAAACTGGAAAGGTAGGAGCAGTCTAGCTTATGAAGGACTTGGAATGCCAAACAGGATATATTTTTTTCTTTTTCTTTTTTAATTCCAAATTCTTTTCTTCTCTCCTGCCCTCCCCCGCCCCCAACCCCGCCTACTGAAGAGGAAAGAAATATACTCCCCATTACACATATGAAGTCATGTAAAACATATTTCTGTTTCAGCAATGTTTCAAAAGAAGGAAGAAAAATGAAGGAAAAATTATGCATCAATCTACATTCTGAGTTCACTGTCTAGGGGTGGACAGCATTTTACATCATAGGTCCTTTAAAGATGTAGTGGATTATTGAATCGATCAGTTACTAAGTATTTCATATTTGATTATCTTTACAATACTGCTGCTATTGTATAGATTTTTCTCTTGGTTCTGCTCACTTCACTTTGTATCAATTCATATAAGTCTTCCCACGTTTTTCTGAAACTATCCCCTTCATCATTTCTTACAGCATAATAATATTCCAGCACATTTATATACCATAACTTGTCCAGCTATTCCCCAACTGTGGGGCATCCTTTCAGTTTCCAACTCTTTGCCAACATTGAAAGAGCTATTATAAATATTTTTTGTGCATTTGGATCCTTTTCCCGTTTATTTGATCTCTTTGGGGTATAGACCTAGTAGTGGTATTGCTGGATCAAAAGCTATGCCAGTTTTATAGCCCTTTGGGTATAGTTTTTTGTTGTTTTCCAGAATAGCTGGACTAGTTTACAGACCAACCGAAAGGGACTAAGTGTACCTGTTTTCCATTTTCCTTTTAAGTCATCTTAGCCAATCTGATGGGTATAATGTGGATCTTCAGAGTTACATTATTTAATTTGCATTTCTCCAATTATTAGTGATTTAGAGCATTTTTATGTGATTATTAATACGTTTGATTTCTTCCTCTGAAAACTGCTTGTTAATATCCTTTGACCATTTATCAATTAAGGAATGGCTCTGATTTTTTATAAATTTGGCTAAATTCTCTATATATTTGAGAAATAAGACCTTTATCAGAGAAGCTTGCTGTAAAATTTTTCCCCTAATTCCCTGCTTTTCTTCTAATTTTGGTTGCATTCATTTTGTTTGTGAAAAAAAGAAACTTTTTAATTTTATATAATAAAAAATATCCATTTTACCTTGTGTGAACCTCTCTTAATCTCTTAATTGGTCATGAACGCTTTACCTATCCAGAAATTGGACAGGTAATTTCTTCCATGCTCCCCTATACGGTTTTTTAATGTCTAAATCACATACCCATTTTGAGCTTATCTTGGTAAACAGTGTGTTTACACACAATTTATCACAATTAGGTAGTGTTTGCCTAATTTCTACCAGACTACTTTCCAGTTTTGCCAGTATTTTTGGCAATGAGCTATTGCTGTTATAGCTGGGTTCTTTGGGTTTACCAGACACTAGGATACTGGGTCACTTTGATTCTATATATTTTGTACCAAATCTATTCCACTGATCAACCATTACATTTCTTATCCAG